AGCACTTCCATTCCAAGAAAGTGCCTCATTCTTCATAAATCGGACATATCAAACTCTACCATCATTGACCTTTTAAATTCCATACACATTCTCACATGACTTCCAGTAAAAATTAAGTCATCTACATAAAGGCTAATTATTAACATTTTACCTCCTTTTGACTTGTTGAACAAAGTATGCTCACTGGAACATTTCTTGAAGCCTTCACGCAGAAAGTAAGACTCAATTTTGTTGTACCACTCCCTTAGCGCTTGCTTAAGGCCATATAGAGCCTTTTTTAGCTTGTAAAACTTCGTTTCTTATCCCTTCTTAACAAACCCTTCAGGTTGTTGAACAAATACTTCCTCCTTGAGTTCACTTTGAAGGAAAGCACTTTTTACGTCAAGCTGAAAAACCTCCCAGCCAGACTGTGCTGCTACTGAAAGTATTGTTCGAATGGTATCGAGCCTTGCTACTAGTGCAAATACTTCGGTGTAATCAACTCCATACTGTTGTGCATAACCCTTAGCTACCAATCTCGCTTTATGTTTCTCGACATCCCCATTTTCATTAAGTTTGGTCTTAAAGACCCACCTAACTCCAATAGGCTTGGCATCCTTAGGCAAACCCATCAATTCCCATGTTTGGTTCTTCTCTATAGCTTCCATTTCTGCTTCCATAGCCTCTTTCCACTTCTTGCTTTTGACAGTCTCTGCAAATGAAAATGGATCATTCTCTGTTACCATCATCATTGCATGCATATCTTCTTCTTCTGAGAGATCTTCTCTTGTTTCATAGTCTTCCATCCATACTGGTTTTGTTCTGACTCTTTCAACCCTCCCTTCATCTGCAACTTCTTGAATGTTTACTTCATTTTGTGGTGAATAATCGGAAGGAGTATTTCTTCCCATGAGCTCCTCAATATTATCCTCGCCGACATGCTCTTTTTCACTTTCATTATCATCTTCTAGCACATCCAAATTCAATTCTTCTTCAGTTCTTCCCCAATCCCAACTCTCTTCTTCTTCAAATTGAACATCGTTGCTGATGATGATCTTCTTAGTGGTTGGATCATATAATCTATAGGCCTTGGATTCAATGCTAACCCCCAGGAATACACACTTATTGCTTTTGGCATCTAACTTGATCCTCTTTTGGTTTAGAATATGAGTGTGTGCTATGCAACCGAACACCCGTAAATAAGTTGTTGTTGGCTTCACTCCGCTCCATGCTTCCTATGGAGTTTTCTCTTTTACCGTTGTGGTCAGGATCCTATTTTGAACGTGAACACACCAATTTGCAGCTTCTGGCCAGAATACTTTTGGAACTTTCTTATCAGCTAATATTGAGCGTATTGCATTCATGATTGTTCTGTTCTTTCGTTCGGCAACTCCGTTCTATTGTGGAGTGTATGCTACTGTCAATTGTCTGCTTATACCATGAGCTTTACAAAATTCTCCAAATTCATTTGAGTTAAACTCACCTCCTCTATCTGTTCTCAAACAAGTTATATATGCACCAGCTTCTTTTTCAATAAATGCTTTGAAATTCTTGAATGCACTAAAGGCTTCTGATTTTTCATGTAAACAATAAAACCAAGTTTTATGTCAAAAATCATCAATAAAACTTATGATATACCTTTTGTCACTGTTGGAAGCAAGTTTGATAGGCCCACACAAATTAGAATGAACAAGTTGAATTTGCTTTGATGCTCTCCAAGAACTTTGTTTCGGAAATGATCCTCTTTGTTGTTTGCCAACCAAACATGTTTCACATAACTTTTCTGGAACTTTGAGCAGAGGCACACCGTCTATCATTTTCCTGTATGCAAGTGTTCTTAATCCTGAGTAATTCAGATGGCCAAATCGATGATGCCACAAGTGTGGTTTATTCTCGGAGGAAAGTTCAGCCTGAAGACACATCAAATTTCCTTTTGCTTCCATAGATGCTAACACATAAAACATTCTATTTCCACTCATGTTAGTTTGCATAATTAACCCTCTTTTTGGACGATAAACTGTACAAGTCCCTTGCTGAATTAGAATAGCTAAACCTTTCTCTTGAAGTTGCCCTATGCTTAACAAATTACTTTTCAACTCAGATATGTAAAAAACATTTGAGATTACCTGAATAATACCATTTACTTGAAGTCGTACACTCCCTTTAGCTACCACTGCCATTCTAGTGTAATTCTCAAGCTTCACTGTTTGTCTAAATCCTTCCTCTAGCTCTGAGAACCATTCTTTGTTTCCATCATGTGATTTGAACACCCCGAGTCAAGAAACCAAGCTTTTTCTATTTTAGTTTGACCAACATCAACATAAAACATTAGCAGAACCTCTTCTCCATCTTCTACATGTTCAGCATAGTTAGCTCGTTTCTCCCAATCAGGACACTCATATTGAAAGTGTCCCAACTGATGACATTTGAAACATTCTACAGTGGCTATATTCATAGATGACCTCCCTCTTCCTCTACCTCAACCAAATCAGAATGAGCCTCTGCCCCGTCGTGGCTTGTCGTCATAAGAAATTCTTAATGCTTGTTCTTCCTCTTGATTCCCATGCATTCTTTTCTCTTGAACAAGAAAAATTCCATGGAGCTCATCAACAGTCATAGTATCTATGTCATTTGACTCCTCAATTGAACATACAACATAATTGAATTTGGGAGTCAAAGATCTCAAAATCTTACCCACCATTGTGCTTTGCTTCATATCTTCTCCATTCACTTTCATTTTATTTACCACCATAAGGGTTCGTGAAATGAAGCCATCAATCTTTTCTCCTTCTTTCATAACCAGCATTTCAAACTCATTCCTCAATGCCTGCAGCTGCGCTCTCTTTACTTTGGTTGATCCCTGGTATTTCTGTTTCATTGAATCCCATATCGCCTTTGATGTTCTTTTGTCAAGAATGGTTTCCATGATCTCTCTATCAATCGCTTGAAAGAGATAATTCTTAACTTTCAGATCTTTGAGTTTTGTTTCTTCGACACTTTTTCTCTGGGCCTGACTTGCCGAAGAAATCCTGAATGCTGGTGCTGGAATACCTTCATCCACCAGGTTCCACATCTCTTTGCTCCTCAAGATATTCTCCATCAACATCGACCAATGATCATAATGGCCGTCAAATCTTGGAGTAACAAATTTCTCAGAGTTTGTCATGCTTCACTCACTCTCACACTCCTATTTAGTCAACCCCCTTTTGAAAGCTCTGATACCAAATGTTTAAATCAGATTTAAACAAAGCTTCAAAAGTAAATGGAGGAATGTATATTATTCGATTTATCAGTAGCTAATATATAGCCATCTTACAAGTAAAAAGAAATAATCAACTCTAGTCTTTACATGCCTATAGAGTAGGAACAAATAACAAACTCTATTTCTCCTAAAGAATAGGTCTTATTCAAATAGACTAGGACTAATAAAACAATAGATTAAATCAATAATACATATTCAACTAACAAGGATAAGATATGACATGTTTTTTTCTTCAATTTCCTATAAAGCAAAATTAAATTCAAATAAATTGTACATTTCAACTAATGCGCACACCAGATTTGAAGCTTTGGTCTGGATAACATAAAGAAAGAAAAAACCAGTAAAAAAGGAAAGCTAAATGGTCTAATAGTTTTATAATTAATATTTGGGTCATTGAAAAGTTATATGTTGTTTTTTTATTTACAAAAAAACTTTTAAAAAAAAAGTATTTTAATAATTCTATGATAAATGCTTTTCAAATGTACCATTTACGTTGTATTTTTTATGGGTAACGTTATCTGATATTTTTGCAAGGGTGATGAAAAATTTACCAAATTTAAAACAATCTTTGTGATAACATGAGAAATATGTTGGTGATTTTAGTATCAACAATGTATTTTAGTAGTAATGTGATTTACTAAAGAGCGATGCAATTATGTGTTAAGTTCGGAAACGAGTTAGGGAAGTGCGGAGTGCACGCTCGTCGAGCCAATGCATAATTGAATATGAATAATTGAAACGGGGTTCCAAGGGGCGAAGCCCCTGGCGGGGTACGGGGCAGCGTCCCGTTGGGGTTCCAAGGGGCGAAGCCCCTGGCGGGGTGCGAAGCCCTAACCAACATAACCGTTTTTCCGAACAGGTGTGTCTTTTCGGTCCCCAACCGACATAACCGTTTTTCAGAACAATCGTGTCTTTTCGGTTTCAGTTATTGATCTCCTATATAAGGAGTCATTTGGCCTCGGTTTCAAAAACGAACGAAAAATAATACTTTCTCTCTACATTTGTAATCAGTTTTCTTTTGCCAGAAACATATTATTCTTCAAGAATTATCCCCACAAAGATTTCGTGAACCCAGGCAAGAATAGGATCGAAATACTTTGTTCGGAAAGTGTACAAACACGATTCTTCAAAGTTATCCAAGATTATCATACCCAAATTTCTAACAAAATAGGATACATATATACCTTTCTATATAATTGTACTCTAATAATATAACATCAGTTAATGAATACAGACACAATAAAAATAAATCTGTTTTCTTAAACTGATATAATCAAGATTCAACGGCTAAAGATGCCCCGACGGTGTAATTGCGGCATTTTTGCCAACTGCATGGGATATATAACACTCTAAAACTTTGAATGAATCAATAGTAAAATAAATTAATCTTTTAAATCAACAACTTGAACAACTACGCAGCAGAATCATAATAACATCTTTATCCAACATGGAAGCAACTTTTGAATAACAAGTACTTAACAACAATCAAATTAAAAGATTATCAATCCAGGGAATCTGATTCCGTTAATAGACACTTTTTTGTCCTATTAGAAAGTTTTCATTGCCTTATCCAATAATATAATCTGAAACCCAAGAACACACATGTTACAATAGTCCTGAGGTAAAATCATGTGAGTTAATGAATAGAGACACAATAAGCTTAAATCAGATTTTGTCCTAAGCAGGAATCCCTCCTTTGTTTGAGCATGTTGGTGATGAAGGACAGACACAAGATAAGGCAAGAGTTGTTGGACATGAATCAATCAAATATAAGTTCACAGTCCTTTGGACACATAGATAATTTTTGTGATATTTGATACTTTGCATTTAAATCTAAGGAAGAGGAGCAGTGAATTGTCATGGTACATAATATTTTTGAATTTCGCATGATATATTCAGCGAATTGAAGCTCGCACCTTTTACCCCTCCAATATCCAAACAAACAAGTTTTGAGCTGAGATGAAAGACATTTTGGAACCATCTTTGGGTCCTTCCAATTCTTGTCATCCATTCCTTTATCATTTTCTATTTCCTAGACAATGTTGAAGCAAAAACAAAGTCATATGTAGATTAGATTTAAAAAATAAAATAAAATAATGAAATAAATTAATCAAAGCAACCTCATTCTGATGAATGATAAGATGCTCAAGTTTGGGAGTGTGTTGAAGCACTTTTAGTATCCACTTCCCTCGGTGAAAGTTAATGAATAGGTCCATTTGAGTTAGATTGTTAAAAAAGGGGACATGGACAGTTTTGAGATGCCATGTCTGGATGAAATTCAAACACAAAACATTAGAAACTAATTAATTGTATATGATTTATAAAGTTCAAAGTTAGAAAACATTAAAAAAAAATACCTCTTGCCTTACTTTGAGAACCAGTGCCCTAGAGAAGCTGAGTAAAGGAATAAGTTCAGGATCATCGGTAATATTAGCTCTCACCAAACTGGGCAAACACTTAATCATTTCTCGAGGTTCTGCCCTATCGAATGTATCTATAAGATTTGTTTGCAATTCCTCTAGAACGGGAAAGGCTAAGAAAAAGTTGATCATATAGGTATGACAACGGAAAGAGACGTTATCCAAATGAAGAGTTTTGACAGAAGAAACATTTACTTGAGGAAAGTCTTTGACAATATATAGGTTTGTAAGCTTGAGAACAGTAAGAGTGTTGGAAGTGAAAATATTAGAAAAGAATTTCATCTCTAACGGGAACCACAACATGTTAAGTTCCAGAGTTTCAAGTCTTCTTTGTATAGCGGCCCTAATAACTGCGTCGAAAAATTGAGGTTGGTAATCAAAATGAGATTTTACGCGGAATGATAGTATTGGCAAGTTGATGTCACGGGATAGTATGAGTGAGTATATAATAAGGGTTGGGGTGATTCCCATTATAAAATCGAGAGTGGTGACAGAAAGCCATATTGGTTTCCACCTCTTTGAGAGGATGCTTGTGCGGGCGGCTGATTTGGTTGGGAGAAAAGAGAGAATGTGGGAGAGAATTGAGTCAGGAAGGTCGCTAAGCCTATCTTCTTCGATCAGTAGCTTGTTAACCCTATCTTCCATCGATGCGTTGCTAACCCTAGAATTGTTTGAAATCAAGGATGGCTTGCAAAACTTATATTCACAGCGGCTAACGTGGGATCCAGACAGATTGAGGACAAAGTATATCACATTATGTGCACCATTAGATTAATCTAAATCTTCACATTGTGCCATGTGTTTTTTTTTTTTGTTAAGCATAAAAGAAATACTTAAAATTTAAAATTATGGAAACCTATTAAAACTAAAATATCCAATGTTGCAAACTTTTTTTTAAGAGGAAAAAAAATATATGGGGTGTCAGATTTAAGTGTGGGAGTCGCAGGTTAAATTCTTCGGGAAGCATCATAAACACTAGAGAATTTAACATGTCACCCTCAAATTTGTATATGGCACTCCCCTGAAGTTTCGTAATGGTCAAAATGTCTCTGGTGATGAAATAAAAGAATATTTCAAACTAAATTTTCAGTAAAACATGGAAATTTTTGGTAAATACAAATTTTGCGGTAGTTCAAAAAGAAAATTTTGGTACGCTACAAATAATTACGGAAATTTTAACATTCCTGTGACATACCAGAAATTTAGTTGAAATCGGAATTTCTGGTAGGTTATAAAAAATTGTTTTATCCAACAATTAAGATTTTACCGACAGTTTTGAAGGGTTGTGATTGCACCAATAATTTTTTGTGATTCAGGACACATCCAAAGCTGTAAAAATTGGGGTCATTTGTCGAAAAATAATCAAAATCGCAAAATGACTCTTCCTCAATTTTTGGTTGACGCAATAATGTATTTCACTAGAGTACAAGATCCTGTGAAGTTTCAGATTTCGTATGAGTTTATGGTCCTCGAGTCACTGGCGGAAAAGTTGAAAGAATTGTTGTCTGGTACTGATAATAGAAGGGTGAGGAAGATTTCATACCGTGAAAATTGAAACACGGATGTTGATGGAAATGTTAGTTACAACGTTGTTGAGTTGAAGAGCAATGAAGATATGAAGGCCATACAAAAATCATATCGTTGTAGGCTAACTAAGGGGCCGTTAGAATTGGAAGCGCAACTTGCCAGATCTGCCGACGACGTAATTAAGATGTTGGAACGTCTAGAATCATCACGTAATTTCTGGGTTTTTATGTTATTAGTTATTGTGATACGGTGGGAGAGAACTGACTGTTTCTGGATATGCTGGTTCGCGTTTTGCGTTTGTTTTCGCAAAATGTCGCGGTAAGCAAGAGTCGCCACCGTCTTTTATTTTATCCAACAAGGAAAGGAAAAAAGCACAGAAAAATTCCTTTTTCGAGAAGTTTCTCGGGTCCGGGGGGTAGATTATAGAAAGGGAAGGTGTTAGCACCCTTTCTATCCGTGGTTATCCACGGGCTTTTAGGTACTTGCTAAAAGTGTTTTCAAAATTTGCTTTTTTTGTGTTTGTAGGTTTGAAAGAAGTTTTTGTTTGAAAGGTGTAAGTGCGAAAAGTTTTGTTTTGTTTTGGAAAGAGCAAGTACTTAAGAACCATCTACCTACTCGAAAAAGGAATTAATTTGTGCTAATGTCCTTTAGACAATGCTATCCCACTATGAATGAGTAGGTAGCACCGTCATTGGAATTTTAAGGGTCAATTCGATTAAGGAATGTGTGGTCACTAAAGCAATGTTAGGACGCCTTAGCGGTAACCCTAATGTCTTAGATCATTTTATTCGAGGCAACCGTTTCGAGGAAACTTATGATCTTTGGACAAGAGGGCGACCTTTAAAATTTCCTATACTCAATGACCACGTTCGAAGGCAACCAAGCGAGGTGTACCCTAAGAGTGCGCATGTGCGAGTGTGTTGTTTCGGTTAAATTATCTTTGTACATGTCATGGGTGAGCTATGTTGATTTTAAGTTCATACATTTGATCTTATCATGCATTCCCTATTATCAAACATCTAACAGTGTATAGTTGCGGAATTTAAATTTGCGGAAATTAAATCTAAACTATTACAAGGCGTCGGGTATTTACATCGCCAAAAACAACCCTTGAAATTTAAATTGCGGAAAATAAAAGAAAGCGATAAAATAATTCAAAGTCCTATTTAAAGCTATTACATTCCATAAGCAATTACAATATTGAACAAAATGGATCGCGGGAGAGAAATTAAAACGGCGCATTTTTTAGGGTTTTGACCCCTTTTTGAAAAGAAAGTATTTTTGTTATTTTTTTTGAATTAGAAAGAAATTAAATTAGGTCAAAATTAATTAATTAAAATATTTTTGGATTTTTGAGTATTTAAAGAAATAAAATAAATTGATTAAAAGTTAGTAAAACCTAATATTCTACATTAATTTTAATTATTTGCAAAAATATTAAAAATTAAACCTAATTAAACTAAATCAATTAAATTAATTTATTTACAAAAATAAAAGTGATGAATTTAATTTTAATAAATATAATATATTTTTGTGTTTTTGATTTTATTAAGGAAAATAATCTAATTGGTTTATTTAAACAATAAAAATAATAATACAAAACAATAAAATAAAAGAAATATAAAAAGAATAGAAATGACCAAGGGGGGTGTTGGGCCCAATCTAGAGGTGAAACTGGCATTTTTTAGTCCCATTTGCTGCAAGCCTTTGTGACTTTTCTGGATCCCACGTGACACGTTGACTGGGGCACATGGTGGTCTTTCATTCTGGGCCATCAGATTTGGCCTGGAGGCCATCTGGCGCCTGATTGGATGATGGTATATGGTAGATATTAGGCCTTGGCATGTATTGGATAGCCTGGAAAAAATTAACACAAATGCATGGGGGAGCTGGGATTCGAACCCAGGTCCCATTGGAATTTGTACGCTCGCCTGGCCACTGCGCCACTATGCTGCTTTTGTTATTATAATAGATGGCAATTATTATATTGGAAAACAAACCAAATGCCAGAAATTAAAACAAAATACGCGCGAAATATGAATGGACGAATTGGGAAGAGACGCGTCATCGTCTTCTCCACTCATCCCTGGTTTTTTTTACCTGCGGATTCTTATCCGCAGCTAAATCCGTATGACCCTCCAAAAATCTTCTCTAGGCCATGGAAACGAATTTTGAGACCATCATCATGCTCGTCTCTCCCTCCTGAACACACCCATGGCCATTGATAATGCTGATTTTACCTGAAACTGAAATGCCTAAAAACAAGAAACCCAAACCCTGGTTTCGGGTATGGCTTTACAGGCTACAAAAACAAAATCAAATATTGCAGATAGTTTGGAAATCATACAAAGATCAAGAATATGTCCATGGTTTGTCAAAAAGATGCAAGAATGAGAGATTACGTTTTCATGTACAGGGCGGTATTCAAGGAGACTTACAACGCGTTTTAGGTGACAAATGGCTTGGCTTTTGATTGCAATAGCTTCAGTGGATGTCAGGCAAGAAGTCTATGTTGAGTTTTTGTCTTGAATTGGCCTCTAACCAAGATTTCGATTCCACACTTTTTCAAGCTTTTTTCAAGTTTTTGTTTCTCTGATTATGCAGCCTTTAGGTTCTCTATTTCGTGCCTTTGCCTTGTGTGAGTATAATGGAGTGAATTAGGTTTAGTTTTGGGCTTTAAATTCTTGCCAATCAATGCTTGAAGATGTGATTTTATTCTCCATTGAAAAAGCTTCGAAATTTGTCGAAAACCAATATTTTGTGCATGATATGGATTGATTCGGATTTGATTGTGTTCATGATGTCAATTAAGACCTGTAATGATCAAAAAGATACCAAGTGATTAAGATTTGAATTTTATTTGGATTTAAATTGATTTAAAATGAATTAAATCAATAAAAATCAAATAAAATAGAAAAATTATTAATTGGACACATGGATGAAGATATAACATGTGTGTAGTGTGATAAGATCAAATCAAGTGGAAAAAATGGGCCCATTTGGCAAAAGTTGAAGCTTTGGGGATAGTTGACTTTTGGCAATTTTGCAAAAATGCCCAACTTCAACAATGCATAACTTCCTCAATTTTGAACTTTTGGAGGTGTTCTTGGACTTTTTAGAATACTTGAGATGTCCTCTAACCAACCCTTTTCGTATCATCTCATTTTGATATTCCATGCTAAAGTTATAAGCTTTGGCAAAAAAGGTGTTTTTGTTGACTTTCAAAAATTGCCAATAATGTCCAAATTTGTAACTTTTTGTGAGTGCATTTCTTGATCTTGGGGTGTGAAGATGGATTGTAGGAAATTGAATCCTCTTCAAAATTAGATTTTTATGGGTCATTTATCATAAGGTATGAGAAAGTTATGCTTGGTCAAAGTTGAGTTGACTTTTCAAACAAAACCCTAATTTAACAACTTTTGAATCTTGATGAATTTTGAGCAATCCTTGATGAATCATGATCAAACCTTGATAAAATGATGAATTATCCTTCAAAATGAGATTGTTTACAAAAAATCTTGAGGTTTGACTGTATTTGGGTCACAGTTGACTTTTGCCCTAGCACAGTCGATTTTTGGATCTCTTGAGCAATTAACTGACCAAACTTCCTCTGCAAGGCTTGAAATTTGACATGGATGAACTTGAGAACATATTAGGACATTGGGGAGCACTTGAGGTCATTTTGATGTAAGGACCTTGATGCAACACAAAACCCTAATTTGAGGTTGACTGCCTTAGGAGATGGCTGGACTGTCCAACTCTAGAGCCATGTTGAGCAACTTGGAGATTATTCTTGCCATGTCTTGAGAAATATGGGAGGGAAAATTTTGGGGTACAACAGTTTCCCCTGTTCAATCTTCTTAAACCTAAGGATATAGATTGGCTTTCGGGCCTTTCGTGATCCGAAGGTGGAAGATGATTGAACACTAGAGTGCCCAGAAATTTGCACTCGCATGAAGTGGTATCAGCCTTGTGATGTCGGGAATGGGCTTACAGATGCCATCTGGAGGTTGTTGGTAGGTGGTTTTGTCTTCTTAGACAGGATTGGCATCAGAAAAATCTTTTAGGAATCGATTTAACTGGACCAGAGGGGGTTTTGTCTTCTTTGACGGGATTAG